GGAAAAAACCGTATAAATTTAAAAAATAATTTATATTTTTCAGATTTGCTGGAACTCTCGGACTCCAGGATAAAATAGTAATTCAAAATCTATCTGACAACCCAGGATTATTACCCTTTAAGATAGGAACAGCTAAAATAGAAATTTATTCCCATTCTCTCATTCACTATTACGATTTAAATCCTATAATAATTGAAGTAAATAAATTAAAAGAACAAAGTGACAGTATTAGAATGTTGATAAGCACAGATACAAATTATAGTAACGATTTATTAAACTATTTTAAGTTATTAAATTTTACAGAAAATAAAGTGACGAATAAGTTAATAGAGATCGTGCCATCTCAAAATAGGAAAAAACGAGGTATAATTAATGGTCTAGGATCAATTTTCAAATCGATTACAGGTAATTTAGATGCCAATGATGGGGAACGATTTGAAACTCTTATCAAAGAACTGCAAAATAATCAAATTAATTTAGCTACAAATATTAGGGAACAAAATTCGGTGTCATTTGCATTAATTGAAAAATTTAATAAAACGATTCAACAGATAACAAATAATGAGCATATATTAACTTCTCGAATTAAAATAATAGAATCCTTAATGAATGAAGAAATCACCCTTTCTCGTTTTAATTACATTAAAGACAGTATTGTACAAATAATAAATATTTTTGAAATCACTAATTCTATTCTACAGGATATAGAAAATTCAATTTCCTTTGCTAAAATTCAAGTTATGCACCCTAGTATAATCAAAACAATCGATTTATATAATCAATTAAAATTATTAGAAAAATACTTAAACAAAAATGAACTTCCTCTGGAAATTAATTTAAATAATGTGTTGTTATTCGAAAAATTAATAAAAATTGACTGTTTTATTTTTAATAATAAAATAACATTTATTTTAAAAATCCCTGTCGTTCAATCTGAAAATTTTAATTTATATCATTTATTCGCGGTACCTATTTGTGGAAAAGAGTCAGTTTAAGGTCATAATACCTAGAAAGAAATTTTTGGTTAAAAACAAATCCAAATTCGCTTTCACGAGCAATCCATGTACAGAAATAATCCCTCGGCAATTTGTCTGCCCGAGAATTGATCTGCTTGAAATTGAAGAAGACGGCCCCTGTGAAATACAATTGTTGGAAATGAAAATTACTTCCACCTGTGAAAAAACGTCAATTCGCCTATCAAAGCCACTATTAAAGCAATTAGCCAACTCTAATCATTGGATATACACTGTGCCTTATCAAGACACAGCATATCTTAAATGTCCATCAAACGAAGAAACGAAATATTTCACCACTGGGACTTATTTAGTAGAAATTCCAAAGGGATGTCAATTAACCACACATATGGGGACTATAAGTAACCAGAAATCATCAACAACTTTTGGCCAACCAGTGTTAATCCTAGATTTGGATAATAGCACAATCCAATCCACTTCAAGCAATTTTAATTTTCACTTAGAAAATATTGAACTAGATGATCTACAAGCCATAAAGTCACAAATTACTCATAACCAACCCAAGTTATCATTTGAGAAGGTATTGATGGTTCCCAGTCTTTGGACCTTAATAATTTACGGGACTCTTGTATTCCTGGTGATGTTCTTCGTATACAAGAAACTGATGCCCAAAATATGCAGACATAAGAAATTGACCCAGTCTCCAATAGATCCGACAGCTGTTCAACTTCCTTCATCCTAACTTCAGAAGTTGAAACTCAGGGGGGAGGAATTATGTCGACTCCTATACATGGCCCTTATGGAAGAATGCTGACATTGTAAAACTCTTTGTTCTGATATATTCATTTTTATCTTATTTTGCATTTTTTATTGTTAGACGTTTTTATTTTCTTTTAGAGTGGTCAGTCAGTTGCTAGATTCCATATTGTTAAGTTGTAATTAAAAGTATAATTGTTGTATTAAGTAATAAAAGTATTTTTTTTAAAAAACGAACTCTGAGTTAGTAGGAGTTAATTCATGAAATTGATTTTGGCAACATTCAATTAAACATGCGCATAATGCCACACACGTCATGTTTAGTTTTTGACACGAACAAGCTTTCGTTGCACAATTTTTTTTACAGTTGCACGGTTTTGCTAAATCTTCAGGTAATGGCGGTTTTGTTAAATACAGTGGCTTTATTTGGTTATCACAGAAAACATAACCAAAACCAGAGAAATCTAAAGGTTCATATTGAAATTGATTTGAATTCCTCCAAATATTAGTCTGAAACAAAGCTCGTAAAGTATGCAATTTCAAAGTATCCGACGTTCATGGAAAATTTTTTTTTCCTTATTTTTGTTAAATGGTGAAAGGCTTGGATATTTTTGAAATCATAAAATTTTATGACCCCAGTAAGCCTACTATATGTTCATTGTAACAGGTAGAAATTTTTCACAGATCACGACAAGTGCATTTGGCCTTTTTATCGTATTAAAAAAAAAAGAGGTTAAAGATTTTACTTCTCAGGCAGTATCTGACAATAATTTTTTCATGAATAAAAATAAATGTTAAAAATAAATGTTTCTGTTAACTTTAATAAATAAAAAAGTTATCAAAAGTATCTAAAAAAGTAAAAAAAAAATCACATGATACAAAACTATTAATCGGCAAATGTAACAAAGTGTTACGAAAAATGTTAATAATAATTTTTTTAAACTTATTACCTCTGAAAAACAGCAAAAAATTGATTCAGCGCGTCATCGGGCTTTCTCTTACCCATCTTATACATTGAGTTAGAAGTGAGATAGAAGTACTTCTCTCTAAAAGTACACGCGCCTAGGAAGCATATTGTTATAACGTAAAAAAAAAACATAACAAACAAAATTTTGAAAATTTATTAAGGTTATTTTCTTTATTATAGTTTGAATATTCGGTTTAAAATTTTTAAATTATAGCATTTTAAATTTTAAGGTACATTATTTAATTCAATAAAATTAGAATTTTCGTCAGTTTCGGATTTTAAAACATTCATAACAATTAAAGGGTTAAAGATACGATGATGAGCGTAAGGACTTTTTTTATTCGAAATATCCTAAAGAATATAAAAAAATTAATTCATTGCAAAAAATGCATTTTTTCTGGCATCAACAGATATCCAGCGTCATCTTACACTTTTATAATCAGGAAAGCCTTCCGGACATTTAAAAAAAAAATATGAATTAAAACAATTTTGCAAACGAATGCGCCACTATGCCCTGCACTAAAAAATCTGATGTGTTCAACACATGACTTTCCTATCTAGTTATTACAGGCTTTTTCCGGTTATTTTGTACAACCTATTGCAGCACCTCCATAAATGTTTAGAGGATAAAATAAATATATACATTTTCCACATACATCTACCTCGAAACATTTTTCTATAGATGTTCATTGAAAATGAAAATACTGAAAAATTTAAATTTAGTACTTTTCCTACAATTTTTCCATTACGGTCCATTTTAGAAAAATCATGTATTAACAAAAATTATAGAGATCGATATCGCAAACAACTTTTATTTCAACAATTTTCATAAAATCGGAATTTTGCCCATTTTGTCAAATTTCTCGAATACGGACCATTTCAGGAAATTTTGACATAAAGCAAAAATTATAGATAATAATATTAGAAATAACTTTTATTTGAACAATTTTTTTCTCCAAACATAAATAAACGGTATATTCCATAAAATATAAAAACGGCCCCCCATAAAGTACCCCCCCAGATGTTCCGACTTTGTCCAAAATCTAATCATTTTACGTCAGGCAGAAATAAAACTTAAGTTTAAAATTTAATGTTTTTTTCTTTATCCGTTTTTGAGTTTTCTTCAAATTTCGAAATTTACACATTTTCTCAAATATCTCGAATACGGTCCATTTTAGAGAAATTATGTATAGAATAAAAATTATAGAGAATAATATTACAACCAACTTTTGTTTGAACAGTTTTTATAAAAAAATATTTTTTTACATTTTGTCAAATTTCTCGAATACGGACCATTTTAGGAAAATTTTGTAAAAAACAAAAATTTTAGATAATAATATAAGAAGTAACTTTTATTTGAAGAATTTTCTTCCCCAAACGTAAATAACAGATATATTCCATAAAATATAAAAATGACCACCTATAAAGTACCCCCCTAGGTGTTCCGACACTGCCCAAAATCTAATCAGCACATTGGACGCTGGAACAAAGCTTAAGTTTGAAATTTGGTGTTTTTCTGTGTATCGGTTCATGAGTTATGCGACACACAGACATCATCGCGAAAATAGTCAAAACGGATTCAGGGGACCTCAAAACGTAAAAATCCGTCGAAAACTCGAGGTCGAAAAAAATCATGATTCCTATACTTTCCTTATATCTGTATACAGATAGGAAAGTAAAAAATAAAAGAAAAAGATTTTGGGTACATCCAATGCTAATCGAAGGCGAATTTCTTACAGTAATCACTCTATCCTTTTCGATACTGCCGACAGTCCGCTTTTTTGTCCCGCTGATGGGTCGTTGAGCATTCACACTAGACGGTCTCCGCGTCAACAGACAGTCATGGTCCGGTCAAATATTGTTGGAAATGATCGGCCCGTGACTTGACCGTGGCTTGCTTGTTGCATGAACGGCATATGTGAACGGTTTAAAAGAAATCTCATTTAACAGCATTGAAATTATGACAAATAATTTTTGATCGGACCGTGACTTGATCGTGGCTTGACCTATAGTGAGAATAGACCTTTACTCAGCATGGCGCGGCGCGTAAATTTAAAAAATATAAAATAAGAGCTAACAAATGTGATAGACTGGCTAAGTAATTATTTTATACATTTATAACAGTGTAATTTTATTTATTTAACTCAACGTTGTCAACAGAAATAAGTGTTATTGTATTGTTTAAAAGGAAATTCCTAAACTTAGGGACGTCATTGATCAGTATAATACTCTTCCCTTCGCCCTTTCTCGATTTCCCCGCTTGTACCATACAAACAGTATTAGATGTTATATTTTCTTTTCAGGTCACTTTTGAAGAAAATCGGGCGATACGATAAGGTAAATGCCATTAAAAATAAGTGTGTTCCATCGGCAGTAGACTCTGCTAAAGACCCAGATCTGTTAATTTTCTCAACAAACGTTATGACTAGCGATTATGGATCAGATGAGACGTCCAATGGGCCCACGAATGTCATATGCATCGACGATGAAGAGGTGAGTTTTATCTTATTAAAAGTTGTGAAAACTCCCCTAGATATCAAACAATAGAATATATATTTTTTTAGTTAGTAAATGCAGTTGTATTCCACAGAATTCTCTGGGGTATTCTTATTTCTTATAATTTGCAGTTTCTAATCAAAAATGTCCTTTATTTATTAAAGGCCTATATCTAGAACATTTGCCAGTATACTCGTGGCCACTGCATCTACTGAAGATGTTCTAAACAATACCAATGCATTTTTTGTTTTTTTTTTTATATGAATCTATTATAGTAAAAGTCCAATGTACTAAAAGGGTTTAAATTAACGATAGACTTAAATTTCTAATGTGCGAATAAGGAGACAACAGTGAAAAAGGGAAACACAAAACCAATTATCTAAAACAGTGTTTTCCAAAGTGTGGTCGCGACCCCTGGCGGATCGCTGAAATTTCCAAAATAAGACAAAACACTACTTTGTTAAATTATGTATTTTAATAACGCCGTAAGTAAAAATTAACAAATAATTATCAAACAAAACATAAAACTAAATATTAATAAGTTAGTAAAAATAAAAGCGAAAAATAAAGAAAAATTAAATATTAAATGTTAATGAGACCCATGCACCTGTTTTTTTGAAACTAGTCTTTCAAATCTAGGTTGTGTATTTGAGACACAATTATATCGTTTTCAAGTAGGAGACGATTTTTCACTTTTGTTTTAATGGCAGTCATAGACGAGAAACTTAACTCACAAAAATATGATGTTGCAAATGGAACCAAACATTTTACAGCTTCGCCACCTGAGGGTATTGCTGCATCCTTTTGGTCCAAAATTCCTTCGGGTTCTGGGAAAAAAATTGGAGTTTCAACATTCCATCACTTAATATTTCAATAAGTTTTTCTTTCATGTTTATTGGTATTTCAACATGTTAAACGGACTTGGCTAAAAACGGATTCAGTATCCATCTGCAACAGTTGTAACGGTTTTAAATTTATTCGGGGAAATAATCACAGAGTTGATGTTTTAAATTGAGCAAAGTAACTTTGTTCAATATTTGTATCTTCCATAATTTCCTAAAAGCACTGGAATCTGATCTCAATATTTACAGATTTCACATCCTAACATTCTATTGATTGATATTGCCTTATCCATTTTTGTAGTTTATTAAATAAAACATGTTCCATTGGAGCAAAATCCTGCATTATCTCGTTATTACAGGACATTAACAAAGTTCCAGTAGAAGAACAAACTGTAGAAATAAAGCAAGAACCGGTCATTAGCTGCATACAATCCCGATGTACACCAAAACCCAACATGGTCTGGACCATATGCCTCGATGATGATGACGACGACGATGATAGCCCAAAAGATGCTTCTAAAGACGATATACTCTTTCTCGCTGAAGAAATTAAGTCGAAAAGGGATACAATTAACAAAAATAAGAATACCGAAGTGGCCATAAAAACTCACAAAGTTGATAAAGTAATTCAAAGAGATAAGATTCCACAGCTTCCTAAAATTCAAACTGATATTCCTATAAGTAAAAATAAAATAAACTACATAGATAGGCTACAACAAATTGATAATCTACTAGATAATAGAACAACACACGATGATGATCATGATGATGAAGAAGAAAATGACCAGAAACCAGACATCAACACTATTTTTATTGAAGAAATATTAACAAACACCAAAGGCAATAATAGTAGTAACAGTCTTCCAATATCTCGGCGTCATATTCCAACAGAAACTTCAAATCAGTCAGTAGCTCTGACAAACATAACTGGTAGAAGCAAATTTGACCAAACCTTACAACGAATTAATACAAATGGAAGTTCAAAGAATGGTATTGAAGAAGAAAAAGATTGTGATGAGAAACCAGTTGTAGAGGTTTTAAGACAGCCCGGAACATCATTGATCGTCGATATTATAGATCTGATAGATGATGAGGATGAAGAACAAGATGCCATCATAAGCGTGGCCGGCGATGCTTCACCACTAGCTCGAGCAAATCCTGATTCGACCAAACGTCTTTCTGATAAAAATGGCGATGCTATTAACGAAGCTGATACAACAGACGTTTCAAGCTCCTGCATAGTATCATCACCAAAAAATGTTGTTTCTCATTGCGATAACGAGATATCAACAACTACAGATATAGACATTATATCTAAAAAAATTGTAAATATAGACTTGGCTAGCCATAGTACCACTCTAAATAATTCTAATCATGTAGAACAAGCGAAAAAAAATAAACCAGATTCTTCCAAGTCCGATATAGAAGAGAATCATTTGAACCAATCCAAAAACATTCAGTATTTTCATTTAAATAAAATAGAAAAAGGAGTTATTGAAGAACACGTAAGTCTTGATGGAATTAAAGCAGTTGAACGGTGTTTAACTCCCGTCGAAGAATTTAAAGGAGTTATAAATTTGGAACAAGAAAACAAAGCTGTCGATAAAAATAATGAAGATACTGAAATCTGTATGGACATTGCAGACCAGTTGGAGTTAGACGAAACTGCTAAAAATAAAAATCGTGATGATGAAACTTCAAATATAAATAATAAAGAAATAGAAGGAAATAAATTAATTCAAACTACTAGTAAAGACGATTCTCATTTAAATGAAACCTCTATAGATGTAAATAATGAAGAAATTGGAATTCAAACTACCAGTAAAGACGATTCTCATTTACATGATACTGCTACATATGTAAATAATGAAATTGGAGTTCACACTACCAGTAAATACGATTCTCATTTAAATGAAATGACTGCTGATGTAAATAATACAGAAATTGGAGTTCAAACTACCAGTAAAGACGATTCTCATTTAAATGAAATTACTACTGATGTAAATAATACAGAATTTGGAGTTCAAACTACCAGTAAAGATGATTCTGATTTAAATGAACCTGCTACAGATGTAAATAATGAAGAAATTGGAGTTCACACTACTAGTAAATACGATTCTCATTTAAATGAGACGACTACAGAAGTAGATAATAAAGAAATTGGAAATGACAATATTTTGGATGATGAAATATTAGATAACGGTATTAATTCTCAAATTATCGAAGATAAGCATAAACAGAAATTAACTCAAACTACCAGTAAAGACGATTCTCCTTTAAATGAAACGGTTATAGATAGTGTTGATGAAGAACTTATACATGACAGTAATTTGGAGAAAGCTGTATTATTAGCTGATGGTAAAAATGATCAATTAATTGAAGATGTTGATGAAACCAAATTAATTAAAATTAGTTGTATACAGGACACAAATGTTGAAGGAATTAAAGATAATACCAGCAACAGTACAAGTATACAAGATAGTGAAGAAAATCAATTAATTCTAGCTACTATCATATGCGATGATGATACTAGTGTTATAAATTTAGAAAAAGACAGTTACACAATAGAAGAAGAAATCGTTAATGATGATAATTCAACCAAACTTATTGAACAAGACTGCTATGAACCCATAGCTCGATTAGAAAGTACTCAACATGAACAAGAAGACTCTGATGTATTATATATTGACAGTAATCTTGTCGAAGAAGAAGCAGCTGAAATAATTAGCGACGAAGACCAGACTTTCTTGTATAGACAAAATGAAGAAAATATAAAAACTTCTAGTGAAGAAATCAATATATTGGACGACAAAATTGATACTGAATTAGTTATACCACTTGCTTCATTATCTATCCAACTACAATGTATAAATGAAGAAAATTTAACAGCCACGACTACCGAAATTCCACCAATATTTCAAAAAACAGAAGAATCGACTATACCAGAACATGTCGAAGCAAATAAAAATGAACCAGATTCTTTCAGGTCCAATATGGAAGTTATGAATGTTATTAATTTGGAACAAGTAGACAAAGCAGTGTGTAGGGAAGATTGTCATGAAAATAATGAAGAAACTGAAAGCCATATTGGCATTGCGGAACAGTTGGCTTTAGATGAAATGGTTACGAGTCGAAATCGTGAAGATGAAACTTCAAATATAAATAATATAGAAATTGAAGATAATGTTGATTTGAAAGAAGATATGCTAGGCAGTCCTAAAAATTATGAAACGTTTGAACAAATGGAAGAAAATAAATTGGGTCCATCTACTAGTAAGAATGATTCTTATCTAAATGAAACGGGTATAGATGTAAATAATGAAGAAATTGGAGTTGACAGTACTTTTGGCAATGAAACATTAGATAACAGTATAAATTCTCAAATTATCGAAGATATTGAAGAAAATAAATTAATTTCAACTACTAACACGTACGATAATGATACTAGTGTTATAAATGTAGAAAAAGACAAAATAGTTTTAAACTACACAACAGAAGAAGAAATCGTTTACGATGATAATTCAAGCAAACCTAATCAAAAAGGCAGCCATGAACCAATAGCTCATTTAGAAAGTACTCAAGATAAACAAGAAGACCCCGATGTATTATATATTGACAGTAATATTCTTGTTGCCGAAGAAGAAATAACTGAAATAATTAACAGCGACGGAGACCAGACGTCCTCGTATCCCCAAAACGAAGAAAATATGGAAACTTCTAGCAAAGAAACCAATATATTAGACGACAAAGTTGATACTGATTTAGTCATATCACTTGTTTCGTTGTCTATCCAACTACAACGTATAAATGAAGAAAATTTAACAGCCGCGACTACCGAAATTCCACCAAAAATCCAAAAAACAGAAGAAGCGACTGTACCAGAACATGTCAAAGCGAATAAAAATGAACCAGATTCTTCCAGGTCCAATATGGAAGATGTAATTGTAAAAGAGAAGCATTTAATCCTATCCAAAAACGTTCAAGATCTTCATATTGAAGAACACATACACCTTGAAGGAATTAAAGCAGTTGAACGGGGTTTAACGCACGTTGAAGAAATTAAAGAAAGAATCGAAGATGATAGCGTAAATGTTATAAATTTGGAAAAAGAAGAGAAAGCAGTCAGTAAGGAGGATCATGATGAAAATAATGAAGAAATTGAAAGTCGTGTGGTCATTGTGGAACAGTTGGATTTGGATGAAACGGTTACAAGTAAAAATCGTGAAGATGAAACATCTATAAATATAAATAATAAAGACATTAAAGATAATGTTGATTTAAAAAAAAAAATATTAGACCGTCTTAAAAATTGTGAAATCATCGAAGAAATAGAAGAAAATAAATTGGATCAAACTACTAGTAAGAATGATTCTCTTGTAAATGAAACCGGTACATATATAAATAATGAAGAAATTGGAGATGACAGTATTTTGGACAAAGAAAAATCAGACAACATTACAAATTCTCAAATTGTTGAAAATAGTGAAGAAAATAAATTAATTACAACTACTAACACATACGATAATGATCCTAGTGTTATAAATTTAGAAAAAGACAAAATAGATTTAGATAACACAACAGAAGAACAAATTATTAATGATGATAATTCAACCGAACCTATTCAAAAAGACTGCCATGAACCCATAGCTCAGTTAGAAAGTACTCAAGAAGAACAAGAAGACCCCGATGTATTATATATTGACGGTAATCTTCTTGTTGTCGAAGAAGAAATAACTGAAATAATTACCAGCGATGAAAACCAGATTTCCTTGTATCCCCAAAACAAAGAAAATTTGGAAACTTCTAGCAAAGAAACCAATATATTAGACGACAAAGTTGATACTGATTTAGTCATACCACTTGCTTCGTTGTCTATCCAACTACAACCTTTAAATGAAGAAAATTTAACAGCCGCGACTACCGAAATTCCACCAAAATTCCAAAAAACAGAAGAAACGACTGTACCAGAACATGTCGAAGCGAATAAAAATGCACCAGATTCTTCCAGGTCCGATATGGAAGATGTAATTGTAAAAGAGAAGCATTTTATACAATCCAAAAACGTTCAAGATCTTCATATTGAAGAACACATACACCTCGAAGGAATTAAAGCCGTTGAACGAAGTATAACACACGTTGAAGAAATTAAAGAAAGAATCGAAGATGGTTGTGAAAATGTTATACGTTTGGAAAAAGAAGAGAAAGCAGTCAGTAAGGAGGATCATGATGAAAATAATGAAGAAATTGAAAGTCGTATGGTCATTGTGGAACAGTTGGATTTGGATGAAACAGTTGCAAGTAAAAATCGTGAAGATGAAACATCTATAAATATAAATAATAAAGACATTGAAGAAAATGTTGATTTGAAAAAAGAAATATTAGACAGTCTTAAAAATTGTGAAATCATCGAAGAAATAGAAGAAAATAAATTGGATCAAACTACTAGTAAGAATGATTCTCTTATAAATGAAACCGGCACATATATAAATAATGAAGAAATTGGAGATGACAGTATTTTGGACAAAGAAAAATCAGACGACATTACAAATTCTCAAATTGTTGAAGATAGTGAAGAAAATAAATTAATTACAACAACTAACACATCCGTTAATGATCCTAGTGTTATAAATTTAGAAAAAGACAAAATAGATTTAGATAACACAACAGAAAAACAAATTATTAATGTTGATAATTCAACCGAACTTGTTCAAAAAGACTGCCATGAACCTATAGCTCAGATAGAAAGTACTCAAGAAGACCCTGATGTATTATATATTGACGGTAATCTTCTTGTTGTTGAAGAAGAAATAACTGAAATAAGTACCAGCGATGAAAACCAGATTTCCTTGTATCCCCAGAACAAAGAAAATATGGAAACTTCTAGCAATGAAACCAATATATTAGACGACAAACTTGATACTGAATTAGTCATACCAATTGCTTCATTATCTATCAAATTGGAGCGTATGAATGAAAAATTTTTTACAGAAGCGGTTACCGAAATTCCACCAGTATTCCAGAAAACAGAAGAAACGACCTTTCCAGAACATGTCGAAAAAATGATAAAAAATGAATCGGATTCTTACAGGTCCAATATGGAAAACGTAATTTTAAAAGAGAATCATTTCATCCAATCCAAAAACGTTCAAGAACTTCATATTGAAGAACACATAAACCTTGAAGCAATTGTTGAACAGAGTTTAACGCCTGTTGAAGAAATTAAAGAAGTAATTGAATATGATATAAATTTGAAACAAGTAGACAAATCTGTTGGAAGGGAGGATCATGATGGAAATAATGATACTAGTGTTATAAATTTAGAAAAAGAAGAAATGGCTAACGATGATAATTCAACCAAACTTATTGAAAAAGACTGCCATGAACCCATAGCTCAATTAGAAAGTACTCAACATGAACAAAAATACTCCGATATATTATATATTGACGATAATATTCTTGTTGTCGAAGAAGAAATAGTTGAATCAATTAACAGTGACGAAGACCAAACTTCCTTTTATCCCCAAAACGAAGAAAATATTAAAATTTCTAGCAAAGAAACCAATATATTAGACTACAAAATTGATACTGAATTAGTCATACCAATTGCTTCGATGTCTATCCAACTACAGCGTATAAACGAAGAAAATGTAATAGATGTAGCTACCGAAATCCCACCAATATTTCAGAAAACAGAAGAAATTACCGTTCTTGATCATGTTGAAGAAGTAGTCGAAGAAAGTTGTATAGATAAAGAACAACAGGTTCATTCACAAGTTGCAGTTTCCGCTTCCAATTCAACAGAAGATAATTTAAACAAACCGCTCGATGAATTTGAGAAACACAAATTTCCTAACTACGCCGAATTCAATAATTATTATATTCCGAACTCTGCGATTCAAGCTGAACCCAGCAAAATGCTTATACTAGCAATGGCTGCAGAAATCAAACGAAAATCGGAAAAAACCTGCTTCTCAAAACATAAGAAGAAAACAAAGAAAACGAAGAAAGCGTTTATTAAAGCAACTGATGATCCCCAAGACAACAAAGATGCGAAGATGCGCGTCACCAGAAGCAAATCGAGGAAAAGCGGATCCAATACGTTCGAGTCCATTATAAAGCCGCCAGACTTCACCTCCACAATATCTATGAAGAAGGTCAAAATTCATCAGGTATCGGAGTTGATTCCGAGCAAAGAATGTACAGACACTGATAGCAATGACAGCGAAAGCAACATGCTGTTTATAGATGATAAAAAATTGGAAGATCATCACTTATTATCCGCTTACGACTCCGACACTCCTGATGAGAATCTACAATTCAGTTACGAAGTTCGATCCGAAACCAAAACCACTCCAACTAAAAAAATGCAGAAACTGAAAACTGCAGCGGAACGCAAATCGTACGATACACAAAGACTCGGCGATGCAACAAAGTTGGTTACACCTGAAATTACCACAAACCCAATCGCGACCCCCAACGATATTTTAGAATTCCCTGTGACGAAATTACCGAAAAAATTACAGCTCAAATATAAACTCGTCTCATCTGTTAGCCTGCTTACAGGCGACAAAAGCTTCGAATCTTTGCAGAATAACTCCGAAGACCACGTATTGCCAACTGTCGAGCAAAAATTCACAACCCTGCCAGCCAAATTTAGACACAAGCTCGACAACTCCAGGACGTCCGACAGTGTTACTATTGATCTATCGAAATGTAAAAATACCGTCAAAACGACCGCGGAAAAGCTTGGAAAACGGCTGGAAATTGAGATCAAAAAAGGATGTGTAAACGTCAACGATTCAACTCCTAATAAAGCTGTAGTTACGGAAAATATGCCGTTGAATCTTCGAATAAAAACAGTCAAAATAGATAGCGAAACAGCAGAAGCCATTGATTTAACCAAACGCGAAGAAAAAACAGTTTTTGAAGTAACTCCAAAGAAAGAAATTAAAATACTGTCCAATGTAATCATCAGCCCTTCAAAGCAACGCTCCACAGAAACAAATACCGTTATCGTACCAACAGACAATGATGCAATAGAGATTATAAGTACAGAAGATACCCAACAACTATTATCCCCCTCTTTAATAGAAACTCCAGTTGAAAATACTAATCAAAGCACCTCTCAAACACCTACCAGACGTTCCTTCTTATACGAAGCGAAAGAAATCGACGAAATCATTGACAAATACACCAAAGATGACTGTATCAGAATCGCCAAAATTAAATTTAAAACTAAACTAAATTTCAGTGATGATGAAACAGTCGAAACGTTGAATTCCCGATCTTTGAGAAGTTCCAGATCAAAATCCTGCCTGTCGAAAGCGCAAAAGATAGAAGGAAATGTGGAGAGAAAGAAAACGAGATCGAAATCGTTGAACGATCATGTCAAAAAATCTAGCGAAAATGTGTCTGATAATGTCGGTAAACGGTTGCAGGAATCGTTGGTAGAGCCACAAAAATTCCGTAGAGGCAGGAAGAAACAAACTAAGCTGATTACTGATCATGAAAAGAACCAAAGTGTTACCAATATTGAGGAACCAGTTAATAAAACTGTTTCTAATACGAGTGAATATATTGATGAATCAAAACGATGTCTAACGGAAGCTCACAACCTTGATAAACATACATTAAGACCGATAAAACAATCGAAAGTGGCCACTGACCACCAAGACAATGGATCGGTTAATAAAATTGTTGCTGTTGAACTTGTTAATGCATCAAAAACCTCTCCAATAAAGCTTGAAAAGCTCGATAATCATTCAATAAGAAAGAGGAAACCTTCTAGACTCTTCTCAGACATTGGAGAATCTGTTACGGAATCAAAACTTTGTTCAACAGAGTCTCCAAAGCTCAATAGTCATTCTTTAAGAAAGAGGAAACCTTCTAAACTGGTCACTGATCATGCACAGGCTAATTCAATTAACATAACTGGTTCTATTACTGCTCAACTTATTGATGAATTCAAACCAGGTCAATCGGCGCCTCAACAAATCTATAAACATTCATTAAGAAAGAAAACACAATCCAAAATGGTGACTGAACACAATGATTCAGATAATAAAGTTGTTGCAGATACTGCTGAATTTATTGGTGAACCAAAACCCTGTCCAACAGATATGCAAAAGCATGATAGTAATTCGATAAGAAATAGAAAACCATCTAGATTAGCTAGTGATCATGAAAACGATGAAACTGTTAATTCCGACAATGGTCAATTTAATGATGAATCACATTTATATCCAACAGAGGTTAAAAAGCTTGATTGTCATTCATTAAAAAAGGGAAACCCTTCCAAAGTGGCCACGGATCATATAAATGACACAACAGTTAATAAAACTGTTTATGATATTTTTCAATCTATCGATGAACCAATAACCTGTTCAGTTCAGCTTTTAAAGCTAAATAGTCATTTGTTAAGTAAAGAAAACACTAATAAAACTGTTTCTGACACAGAAGAATCTGTTAGTAAATCAAAACTATGTCCAACAGAAGTTCCAAAACTCGATAGTCATTTGTTAAGGAAGAGAAAACCTAAACTGGTTACTGATTATGCAAACGCTGATTTAATTAACATAACTGGTTATGATACTGCTCAACTTATTGATGAATTCAAACCATGTCAATCGGTGCCTCAACAAATCTATAAACATTCATTAAGAAAGAAAACACAATCCAAAATGGTGACTGAACACAATGATTCAGATAATAAAGTTGTTGCAGATACTGCTGAATTTATTGGTGAACCAAAACCATGTCCAACAGATATGCAAAAGCTTGATAGTCATTCGATAAGAAATAGAAAACCATCTAGACTAGCTAGTGATCATAAAAATGACGAAACCGTTTCCGACATAAGTCAACCTATTGATAAACCAACAGAGGCTAAAAAGCTTGATAATCAAAAAGGACAACCTTCCAAAGTAAATATTTATAAATTTGACTACCCAAAATCCTGTTCGATACAGCTTCAAAGGCTAGATAGTCATTTATTAAGAAGGGAGAAACTTTCTAGAATGGCAACTCATCGTAAAAACAACACAACTAATAATAAAACCATGTTTGATACTGCTGAAATTGTTGATGATACAACAGTTAATGAAAGTGTTTATGATATTTATGAATTTGTTGATGAAACAAAATCCTGTTCATTGCAGCATCAAAAGCTAAATAGTAATTTATTAAGAAAGAAGAAACTTTCTAGAGTGGCAACTGATCATGAAAAGGATACAACTGTTACTGAAACTGTTTTTGATACTTCTAAACTTGTTGAATCAAACCCATCTCCAACTCAAAAGCTCAACAACCGCCCATTGAAAAAGAAACTTCGATCTACACATATAACAGATCATAACAACAAAAACAAACAATTAATCGATACGTCTGATAAACATGTACAAATATTAAAACTTGAAAAGATTGGCGATGATGCGTCCAGAAATCTCAAAAGATCCAAAGAGTTTGCTGGCCATGAAAACAAAGAACCAGTTTGTCATACCGCAAATGAAAATCTATCGAGAAAGACCAGACGCTCTAGATCCAAACAGTCAATTGTTCACGATAACACAAATGTGATGGAATCGGAAATCTATAAAAACACTGAAGACGATTTATCTAAAAATAAGCGAAGATCTAGACATTTTTCTGAGAATAAAAGCAAAAATACATTTGAGTCTGATAATCATTTGGATTCCAAATTAAAAGAAGACTACCAACTGGCTGCGAAGAAACTAAGATCTAGATCACTTTCTTCTCGCGAAAACAATATCACAATCGGGCCAATAGTTGATATAACTGAAGAAGGCAACCAACTATTGGCGAATAAATTGGGATCCAGAACACACTCTTATGAAAATAAAAATATCACCGAAACAATAGTTGATAATAGTTCCAACAACACCAAGACAACAAAATCTAATTCAGAAAAGAACCAAACACTAAGAAAATCCAGAAGCAGATCTTTAATGGAACAGGAAAACAAAGATATTGCCGATGCTTTGTCTGATACTATTAAAGCAATCAACAACGATGAGTTGTTAAAAAACACACCGATATTCGTAACTTCTGATACAGGCATTAAAGATGTTGCTAAAGCTGAAAATTATCAATCTAAACAAAACAAAACGAGATCCAGGTCTGTATCTACTTGCAAAACTAAACAGACCACCGATAATAAAAAATCTACACCAGAATGCCAAACATCTGCTGGAAAGAAACTCGAATCGAGATCAATATCTAACCACGAGAACGTCCCTACAGATTCTGAGAAAATAAATCAAACTAAAAAGAGCAGAAGATCAAAATCGAAACGACCAAGAAAGAAAGTCATTGTTGATTTTGATGCAAGTTCCATTGTAGAAACCGGTATACATGATACAAGTAATGTTATTGATATAACAAATATAGAAGTTGCTCTGGCAGAAAACATATATAACCAAAATATGAAGACATTAACGCCAAATACTACAGATACAAACGAAATTAAATATGACGACAATGTTCAGAAAAATGCTTCGGAAATCTGCACTCTGGTAGATACTATTGTTATAGATGTTGACAATGATAAATCAACTGGATACTGCCTTGAAACAAGTACTGCAGAACATCACTCGATAATAAAAGAGACCAAAATTAATGTGGAAGCTGAAGATATTAAACACCAAACAATAATCGAAGACATCGTCCCTCAAGATGAACTTGCTAATGTCAAGGCCTCCAAATCTTCAGAAATAACCGACAGTAACCTCAAAGTTCAACAGAAGAGAACAAAAAGAAAGTCCAAAAAATCTCTAATAGGAAAAGAAAATGATCATGACGAAACTGTTAATGAAAAGACCATCTTTGCAACTCTATCAGATCAGAAACTAGATCAAGAACATACACCAGATGAAATTATTGTGAACAATGTTGATATTTCTATAGTCTCGCCAGAAATCTGCAAAAAGCATCCAGAATCGGAAGAAAATCAAACTCAAGATAGTGTTGTACTAGAAACAAAGCAAATAGAAGACTTGGTCGGGATTCAGTACCAAAATATTCTGCCATTGGCACTACCCGCTGAGCACAATCACTTTTTGGAACAAACAAATTTGAAAGAAAAAGATATAGATAACTTAGTCGCTACTGAAAAAATGCAAGTTTTAGCTGATAATGATGTCCACAATTCTTCTTTAGAACATCATCCTGATTGTAAAGAACCAGTATGCATAGGACACAGTCAAACACCAGATGAATCTGAACACTTACTAACTTCAGAATCAGTAGCTTTAGTTGACGACCAAAATTCTCCATTAGTGTATTCTAGTGGAATTAAAGAACAAGATGGTATCCAGTTGTTGACACACACTTCTAAATCAGATGAAATAAAAGACTTGGTAATATCAAAAACAAAAGAAATAAAAGATTCAGTTGAGAATCAAATCCAAAATTCTTCAGTACTTCTAAATGGCGACGAAGCACAAAAACACGAGTTTACTACACAGAGTCTAAAATCAGATGAATCGGAACACATATTAATTTCAGAAACAGACAAAACACAGGATTTAGACGGTAATGAAGTTAAACATTCTCCTATACTCTCCAATGACGCCAAATTACAAGAAGACATATTTTTAAAACAGAGTCATAAGTCAGATGACACAGAGTATGTAGTGACCTTAGAAAAAGTAGAAGAAACACAAATGTTGGTTGACAGTAAGGTTCAAAATTATCTTTTACTTCCTAATGATAACAAACAAGAAGACAACAGTATTGACTCAAATAATCGAAATCCTGTTGAAGTAGAAGATGTAATTTCAGAAGCAGAAGAATCGCACGTTTCGGAAATCTGCACGCTGGTAGACACTATTGTTACAGACGTTGACACTGATAAATCAACTGGATATTGCCTTCAAACAACTACTGAAGCTCATCACTCAATAATAAAAGAGACTGAAATTAATACTAAAGATACTGAAAATGAAGCACTAAACGCAGACATCATCCCTGAAGATGAACATCCGAACGAAAAGGAGTGCAAATCTTCAGAAATAATCATCAGTGATGACTTAGATGATACAAAACCGTGTAAATTGACTACTTCAGATTTAATTAAACGGTTCAGAGGTAAAAAGAAGAGAACCAAAAGAAATTCCAAAAAATCTCTAATAGGAAAAGAAAGTGATCATGACGAAACTGTTAAGGAAGAGACCATCTTTACAGCGCCGTCAGATCAGACACTAGAACAAGAACATACGCCTTTGGAATCAAAATACTCTGGACCCGAAGATGCAATAATTGTGAATGATGTTGATATTTCCATAGTCCAACCTGAAATCTGCGAAAAGAAAGAACTGCAATTTTTGCATTTAGATTCTGAAGAAAATAAAACTCAAGATACTGTTGTACAAGAACCAAACCAAATAGAAGAATTGGTCGGGATTCAGTACCAAAATATTCCACCATTGACCCTACCCGCTGAGCACAATCAGTTTTTTGGAAAACCAAATTTGGAAGAAAAAGAAATAAAAAACTTAGTCGCTTCTGAAGAAATGCAAGTTTTACCTGAGAATGATATCCACAATTCTTCTTTGGAACATCATTATGATGGTAAAGAACAAGAATGCGTACAGCAGAGTCAGAAACGAGATGAATCTGAACACTTACTAACTTTAGAATCAGTGGTAAGACTAGCTTTAGTTGACGACCAATATTCTCCATTACTACTTTCTAGTAGCGTTAAAGAACAAGAATGTACCCAGTTGTTGACAAGCACTTCTAAATCAGATAAAATAGAAGAATTAGTAACTTCAAAAACAGAAGAAATACAAGTTTCAGTTGAGAGTCAAATCAAAAATTCTTCAGTACTTCCTAACGACGAAGAACAAAAACACAAGTTTCCAACACAAAATCCACAATTAATATCAGAATCAGAAGAAATACATGGTTTAGATGATAATGAAGTTAAAAATTCTTCAGTACTTTCCAATGACGCCACTATATTTTTCAAACCGAGTCAAAAGTCAGATGAAATAGAGTACGTAGTAACCATAGAAAAAGGGGAAACACAAATTTTGGATGATAGTGAAGTTCAAAATTCTTCTAATTATATCATACAACAAAAATGCAACAGTATTGACTCGCAGAATCAAAATACAGTTGAAATAGAAGACATAATAACTTCAGAAGCAGAAGAAACACACGTCCAAAACTGTTCAATTCTACCAAGTGATACTGAAGAACAGGACCACAACACACAGAGCTCAGAGAGTTATTTCAAACAGATCTCAAAACCAGATACAATAAAAGACTTGGCAACTTTAGAAGCAAAAGAAACACAAGTTTTAGTTGATACTCGAATGCAAAATTCTTCACAGTTTTCCAATGATCAAGAACAGAACAGATTTTCCACACCAAGTCCAAAATCAGATGAAATAAAAGACTTGACAACTTTAGAAGCAGAAGAAACAGAAGATTTAGTTGAGAGTGAAATAAAAAACTATTCTGTCCTTCTTAACGAAACTGAAGAACATGAAAACATAAGTTGTTTTACACCGAGTCAAAAATTAGATGAAATAACAGACTCCACAGCTTTAGAAGCAGAAAAGTTACAGGTTTTAGTTGAAAGTCAAGTCCAAAATTCTTTAGCATTTTCCTATGATCAGGAACAAAACAGGTTTTTAACACCAAGTCCAAAAGCAGAAGAAACACAAGTTTTAGTTGAGAGTAAAATCCAAAACTATTCAGTTCTTCCTAATGAAACTGAAGAACATGAAAACAATAGTCATTTGACACAGAATCCAAAGGCAGATGTAGTAAAAGACTTGACTACTTTAGAAGCAGATGAAACACAAGTTTTAGTTGAGAGTCAAGTTCAACCTTTTTCAGTCAAACCTAGTGATACTGAACAACAAGAACACAATACACAGAGCCCTAAAGCAGATGAAATACAAAGTTCGGTAGCTTCTGAAGTTTTAGTTGAGCTTGAAGCGCTTCCCATTGAAACTGAAGAACATGAAAACAATAGTTATTTCACACATAGTCCAAAAACAGATGAAATAATTGAATTGGAAACATCAGAAGACGAAACACAAGTTTTAAATGAGACTCAAATCCAAAAGTCTTCAATCCTTCATAATGAAACTGCAGAACAAGGACACAATAGTTATTTCACACAGGGTCCAAAAGTAGATGCAATAAAAGACTTAAAAACTTTAGACGTAGAAGAAACACAAGTTTTAAATGAGACTCAAATCCAAAATTCTTCAATCCTTTCTAATGAAATTGAAGAACAAGGTCACAATAATTATTTCACACAGGGTCCAAAAGTAGATGCAATAAAAGACTTTAAAACTTTAGTAGTAGAAAAAACACAAGTTTTAAATGACACTCAAATCCAACATTCTTCAATATTTCCTAATGAAATTAAAGAACAAGAACACAGCAGTTATTTTACAAAGAATCCAAAAGTAGATGAAATAAAAGACTTGAAAACATTAGGAATAGAGGAAACACAAGTATTAGCTGAGACACGATTCCAAAATTCATCAGTTTTTCCTAATGAATCTAAAGAACAAGACCATTACAATTTCTTCATGCAGAATCAAAAAGCAGTTGCAACTTCGGAACCAGAAATTTTAATTCAGAATCGAGTCGAAAATTTATCTGCATCAATTTCAGAAGCAAATGAAATAGTGGAAAAATCAAATTCTTCTTTATCGTACGCAGAAAACGAAGGGCAAGAGCAAACTCATTTTATGTCACCACAACCACTTTCAGAAGAGTCTGATAAAGAAGTTAAAGATAATTCTAATTTAGCACCTAATGTTATTAAAGACCAGCTTGTGCCGCAAGCAAGTTCAACTTCTGCACCAAGGGAAATAGAATCCAAACATGAAGATATTTTAGCACAATTAGATTCCGAAATACAAGAAATAGAAAGGGTAAATATCAATAAACTAGCTTGCAAAAAAGATCATACTATCAAAGAGGAAGTAAAGTTATTCGACCATTATTTGAACAATCCAATACATCGGAAAGGTAATTTAGAATTGCCCATTGTTTGTCAAGACGAGCCAAAATTAGTTCATACCGATGTATTTGATTGCGATCCTTGTTCTGTCCAGATAGATGCATTAAAGAAAGAGGATATTAAAGAAACTGGTGGAATTAAACTAGAAAAGAAAGTTCTGAAACGAAAGGCTTCCACTTTAAACATCGAGCCGCTTTGTAAGAAGTGCAAATCAACTGCTACAACAGATTTGAAAAATATCTGCAGTGTAACAGAGCCTGTAAAACAAAAACAGAAGGCTGCCGATGTTCCAAGTACTTCATACGAAGAGATTCCGACTCAGCAAGAATTCAATCCGTTATTACAGCAAATCTCATATCCGATGGCGTCAAATGAGGATAATATGACAGAGTTCTCGAATGATACGACCCTAGCGAACACTTCAAGCACTGAACTGGATACGGATCTTTTACCGAACGATATCATGGAGTTACTGTGTTCTTTTCTGAATCCCAATGGCAATGTTAATATCAACAACGTTAATTGGATACCTCCTGACCAGCGACAGCAAAGTTCTAACTTCAGTTCTAGATATAGAGACAGGAGAACCCAAGCTATATCTATTGTATCTTCCCGTACGATTTCAACAACCATTACTAACTATCCCAGGAAGGAGAACGTCTTGTTTTCTCCTGAACAAAATACCAACGGCGGTATAGCTACGATTACCTCCAAACAGGAGATTACTTTGAACTTTAATGGTCACCGCAACCAGAACAATTCTCATGGGATAAGTACAAATGATAACTTGGCTATGGAGCATTGCTATTCTCAAGGGACTCAAATGGCTGGCAATTCTGGTTTGAATCAATTGAAGGCCATCAAGAGTGGAACCAACGATGACCACAATTATAATACCAGTAAGTACTTTTTAAATTAGCTGTTGTTTTTTTTTAATTATTAAAGCATTTCTTTATTAGCTCACCATAACTTACTAGAACATACATTATGTTACCAGATCATTTCTTTATACGGTTTGGTTACTTTTATGGCGTCATAGATGTTATCACAGCATGTAATTCCTTCCAACCACGGTTACGCCTTAAGATCAATACTGAATTTCAACTGTGCCGTGCAGTATAACTTCCTTGTTCAATGTTGGCTAGTCTTTTGTTTTTAAAGTTAATTAATATTTATGTAATAAATAACCTTACTTATCAACAGGAGATCCAGTAATGAGCATGGTGTATAATGGCGATGACGTTCCTTTAAATTACGACAACATTTTCGGTCTGGATCTACCTGAAGAGGACGACAGTCTCAGAAGAGGATCCTACCCGAATTGGGACCCGGAACCTAAAGTCATTGTGGTTCCCAATGAGCAGTACAGCGAAGACACTGAATTAAAAGACTTTGACAAATCTAGCGCCATATCGGAGACCATAGACGACAGCCTAGTGGTCGAACCTTGGGACACCAATGAATTAATCAAGAACGAAGCTGATAGTTTGGTCAACGAGACCTGGAACGGCTCAGAATCGTTAAAGAGCACCCAAAACGTCGTTTCGAACCAATGGTCATCTGTACCCATCAAGAATATCGAGGTGGAAATACCGTTCACAAACCAAGAAAATTCCTGCTCGAATTCGATTAACAACCAGGAGGCGCACGATACGATAGGAAGTTGTCCCAATAATTTGTACAATTCGATATTAAGCGATTCTGCTCCAGACTCCTATATATGGACGGAACCACCTTTCAATGATCAACATCATCCGGAATTTACGTTGCCGGAAGAACCTTTGACTCAAGTACAAGAAGAATCCCAAACGCCTCCCGATTTGAGCTTCTATGCCACGAATTTCACCAGCTCTCCAGAAACGGACCGTTGTGAAACTCCTCAGGTAGTTAAAGAAGCAGAAGAAGTCATGCAAGACGAAGCCACAAATGAACCATGGGATATTTCGAGACGAGTCGATGATAAAGTTGTCACGAACGTTTCGTCTGAGCAGTCGAATTCCAGCGGTACCTCTAAGAGAATTAAACAACTAATGGAACTACATAAAAAGAAGATGGCTAATAACGAAATGCCTCCTAAGTCAAAAGGGAAGGCTTCGAATACCAACATTCCTGGTCGGCAGTATTCCAGAACTCGTCCGACCAATTGGATCAGTTCTCCAGATCTAAATAAAAAAGATACAACCAAACCTGTAAAAAAAGAGGATGTAGGCAGAAGATCTCCCAGGATTTCCGAACAAAGCAAAAGTCCTAACATCGTTAGCCCGTCTCCTCATAGGAATTCTAAAACCAATTCTCCAGACCCCATGAGGATTAAATCTGAAACATATCTAGAAACGAAAACAATAATACCAGCAACTTCAGAAATTAGAAATTACAAAGTAAATGCGGTTTCGAATTCTACCGTTGAAACATTAAAAGATGACAAAACTAATAATGTTAAAGAACCGTTATCACATTTACATACCAAAAGAGCTAAATATCTATTAGTAGATCTTAAACATCCTAAATTGTCGACGAAGTCCGAAGACGTTAAAACCGAAGTTCCTGACAGGTTAGGAAGTCCAAAACACAAACCCGAACAAGATAATAATACGGAAAAACCGTTAACAGATAACACCACAAGTGCTAATTATTTATCAGCTGATGTTAAACATCCTAAATTATCGACGAGATCCGAAGAAGTTAAAACAGGAGTTAATGCCGGGTTGAAAAATCGCAAATATAAATATGAAGAATCTAATAATACGCAAAAACCGTTAACAGATGACACCACGAGTGCCAAATATTTGTCAGTTGATATTCATCCTAAATTGTCAACCGGGTTCAAAGACGTTAAAACCGGAGTTAATGCTGGGTTGGCAAGTCCCAAAAACAGACACGAACAAACTAATAATACGAAGCAACCATTAACAGATGACACCACACGTGCCAAATATTTATCAGTTGATGTTAAACATCCTAAATTGTCGACCGGGTTCGAAGACGTTAAAACCGAAGTTACTGACAGGTTGGAAAATCGAAAATTAAAACACTATCAAACTAATAATACTAAAAAACCGTTAACAAATGAGTGCACAACTGTCAATGTTGATGTTAAACAGCCCAAACTATTGACGAGGTCACATGACATTAAACCAACTATTATTTCTAACGGGGTGACAAGGTTGAAGATCGAAAATGTAAAATACAAAAACGAACAGGCTGCTAAATACATATCAGCAGATACACATCCTGAATTGTTGATAAAAATTGACGATGGTTATCAGGATGATAGATTGATGGAAAGAAGATCGAGTAGGTCTAGGAATTATTCTAAATTTAACAATACGTACTTGGATATTTCTAGTTCCCCTATGAGTCCATCCGATAAATCTTCGCCCGATATATCTTCACTAGATGATACTAAGGTGAGTAATTTATTATTCTATGGTTAAGGTGACAAACACAACAGAACTCTGATACTTTTATCACAACTTGGCATAGTTGCTTATAGTGTGGGAGCCAATGACCACCAAACCTACTTTTTTAGTAGTAGTAAGATTGGTGTTATGAACCTTGCATACGGGGGTGTTCGGCAGATAACAGGTTCTCAAGGTATCTAAAAATGTTATAGTTTGAAAGATATTTTTCCAATATCCTATGGGATATTTTTGTATATACTGTGTCGAAAAACGTCTGCACCTTTTTATTGTTAATTTCTCAGAAAATTTTATTTGTCTATCTTATATATACCTTGCTTATTTTTTCGTATTAGGCATACGACTAGGATACAAGTTAATAAAATGACAACAGGGCAACAGCGAGTCGTCGACAAGAATTAGAAGATATGGTGGTGGGAAATTAGCCGAACTGAGAGAATAGTAATAGCGGGGATATCGTAGTTGCCATATTATGTTCGCTGTAAAAGCACTATGTCTAATACAAAATAATAATCTATGTATATAAAAGCGAAATACCACTCACTGACTCATCACCAGATCTCCGAAAGTATAAGCCCAATTGACTTGAAATTTGGTACAGTTACTCCTTTCTCGGCGTAGATATCCACTAAGAACGGATTTTATAAACATCACATTTTAAGGAGGCAAAAGGGGGGAAAAGTTTGATGGGAGCATCGAATTTTTTAAGTAGGAACTTGAAAATTGAAATTGTAGCTACTCATCATAAATAATGATGTATTTCAGGGTTTTTGGATATTTACAATTTAAGAGGAAGAAATTGGGGGTGAAAGGTTGTAGGGGGTATCGAATGTTTTAAAGGTAGAAACTTGAAAATTGGAATTGTAGCTACTCATCATAAATAATGACGTGTTTCAGGGTTTTAGATTTTCACATTTTAAGGGGGCAAAAAAGTGATGAAATAAAAATAAATAAAAAAAAACTAATTAAAAAAATAAAAATAAATACAAATGATTACCACAAATAATTAAAAACAAATAAGTGAAACTTCTTTCACCCTGGTATAAAAAATATGAGTGAATTGATAAAAACCATAAGGAAGGACTGCTTTTCTCAACGACAGATTTATGTGACCTGTTAGAGAGTCAGTTCCGCATGCAATCTGGTGATATTAGTAGATGAGAGCTGTACCAGAAATTAGAAATGGGTAAAGCACTAAAATTATTTGCATTGATATACTAACTCCGGCGCACTGTACTGCGCCAACTCATTGCGTTACATGACTGCCTACGCCGAATGAAGTCAATGCGCCTCGATGTATCCCGTGATACCGGTGTTATCCAGCGTGGGTTGTCAAGCCGTGTTCAATGCCATAACGCAATTGAAAATACAACTAAATTGATTTTTTTTAATAAATATTTAAAAATAAACGAAAATATAACAGTGTAATGCACCCATTGTTTTATTTCATTGTGTTCGGATTTTACAAAGAATACAAAATTTTCAATGTCTATAAAAAGGAGAGTACTTTTGCAGTGAATTATTACTAGTAGTCAATAAAAATGGCAAGAACTGAGAGTGTGCGAGGTTAAAATCCAATTACAGTAGATTCTCGATTATCCGACGATCTATTTTCCGATCGCTGGATTATCCGAGTTGAGTAATACCGCCGTTGAAATCCGTATTAATCGAGCGATGTCGTATTATTCGAGCATCAGGCCTAACAGATCGGGTAATTACGGGGAATCCCAGAATAGGTACAGGGGAATCCCTTATTATATTTCTATCTGCACAGTGTTTGTACATTATGTAAAAAAAATCCGGATTATCCGAGCCGCCAATTATCCGATCTAGGCTACAGCCCACATTAGCTCGGATAATCGGGCGTCTACTGTAATTCTACTTACAAATGATGTGACATGTTACAAAGAACGTAATTACTTGATATATTTTGGGTATCTGCATTATGAGTTACATTAATGACGTAAATTTAAAATTCTCAACTCGTCACGGAAAACGGAATCATTGCCTGGCGCACGGCGAAGTATGTATGGGAGTATCGGTTTTCTTAAAGGTAGGTAAGAACTTGAAAATTGGAATTGTAGCTACCCATCATTAATAAATAATGATGTATTTTTGGATTTTAATATTTTAAATGGGGGAAAACGGGGGGGGGGGGGGATGAAAGTTTGTAGGTGTGGTTTGGATTTTCATATTTTACGCCCTGGTATAAAATATATGAAGAGTGGATTGGTAAAAACGACATATCTCGATGTCTCGACACTGCGATAGCCTAAGGGAGGACTGCTTTTCTTACGGAAAGTTATATATGACCTGAGTCAGTTTCGCATGCAGTCTGGTGATATTAGCAGATTATAACTGTGTCAGAAATGTGGTATACAAAGATAGTCTCAATTAGATTAATATACTTAAATATTAGAATACTCTACTTAACTTTAATCTATAATAGTAGCACATACATACCATGAAACCTAAAGAATATATTACTCCTTTTTTGGGAAGTCATCCATTTTAAAAACACGACTCCACGCGTGCAAAGCCGCGGGCAACAACTAGTTTATGATAAAAATTAATCAGTGATCTAAAACCCAGTACAAACTTTATACAGATACGAGGAAGGCCAAAAAATATGAATTTGAACTAATATTTATTTTTTTCAAAATAGAGAAAAAATATTGCCTTCGCACTTTTACATTACTTATATTATTATATTTAATGAAAAAAATTAAGAAAAAAGCCATTGAAAAAAAAATATTTTAAATTCCATAAAGTTGTTCCTGTACCTACAAGAAATAAATCCGTAAACAATATTACCTAATAAAAAAAATTATATATAAACTAATTTATCAAAAATATACAAATGTAATAAAAAATTAATAGTATGAAAATATTTAATTTCATATCGTCATTATTGAGCATGTCATTTGATTCAATATCAAGGTCATCATTTGCACTGGGTTCTAATGTTTCTATGAAAAAACAGTTAATTAGGTTACAAATAACTACTAATTAATTTTGATGTAAAAATAAAGTACCCAGCTGATGGACATTCGAATGAATCACTGACAAAACTTAATAACTGATAGCCATTGAACCTTTTGAATAAGTTTACCACATTATCAATTTCAATATTCAAATTATCTTTTATAACATGTGTAACATTACCTAAACATATTGCTTGAGTTTTTGCAGGATTTATTTTTAGCCCATGTTTTACTGAATACTCGAATATGTTATACATAGTTCATTAACTAATAAGCTCCTTTAAATTTAAGTATTATCAACAAATTGATCTATTGCACAGTTTACAGCATTATTTAGATCCATTGTATATATTAGGTAAAGAAGAGGTCCAAGAGTTGAGCCCTGAGGTACACCTTTTCCATTTAATCTTGAGCTAGATTCATTGTTGTCTATTGTAACATATTGTGATAGGTAACTTTTTAGTAATTTTAACAAATTCTGCAGAATATCCATAATAATTCAGTTCGGCTAAAAGTAGTTCTCTGCCTAAGGTATCAAATTTCTTACTGTAATTTACTGTAGTTAGTGCAGTTCCCGTACTACGTGATGATCTAAACCCAGATTGATTTTCGGCAAATAAATTGTATTGTACATCGGCGAATAAATTTATTTTTCCAAAATTTTGGATAATATTGATAGCTTACTAATAGGCCTTAACTGGTTGACTTCTTTAGGATTTGCTACTGTAGGCAAAAAAACTCTCCAGTTAATAGGAAAATAATCTTCAGTCAAACAACAGTTGTAAATGTGTGTTAAATAAGGCAGAATGTGGACAACAAAGTTTTATCATGTCTAAAGTTATGCTACCTAAATCTGCAGAATTAGATTTAATACTTCCTATTGCATTTAAAACATCAACCAGATTGTAAATTGAAACCTGGACTATTTAAGACTTTATGTGTCTATAATGGACTAATTTAGAATCTATTTCACATCCCAAATCTAAAACTGAGAATCTACAAAATAATTATTGATCAAATCTGAATTACTTATATCTTTTAGAATATATAAATAATGTTTACTAGAATACACGTTTAGCTGTTTTAAGGATTGCCATGTATCCCTAATTCTGTTTAGTTGCTCTAGATGTGCGCGCTTCTCATTTCTTAAAATCATTGTAACAAAGTTTTTTACTCGCTTATACTCATCCCAATCATCTGGATCTCTTGTTCACTTAAATTTACTCAACAACTTGTCCCTATCTTCCTTTAGTTTATGTAATCTATCAGACAACCGCGGTGCTTTTGGTTTCGTGATTTGTATTCTGCGATATAGAGCATATTGATCAAACAAATATTTTTTAATATTATTAGTTAAATATGTCAACTTTTCTATCGATCTCAGGGGAATGAAAAATTTATTCCAATTAAGGGGTTGCAAGTCATTATTAAAATTCTTACAATTCCTAAAACATTTAAACTTTTTGTTGGGGACTATTGTGTCCAAGTTGCAAATTGTAAGGTGATGATCGGTGACAAAATGAAGATCAACATGCTGGATGATGGCTTTGTTATTTGCGTGGGTTTATTTACCAGCTGTCTCAAACCGAAAGGTTCCAACATGTCACTAAGCATATATGTTGTGTTATTACATTATTAGACGTGAGTAAATCTAAATTCATATCACCCATAAATATTACTGTTGATTTTTCTAATGTATAAATAACATCTCTAACGTTATGATTAGGAAGTCTATAAACTATGTGCTCAAGAAATATTTGAATATGTTATCTTGTGGAAAAATTTCAGGGCAAACAAAATTATCGCTGTCATGTCTATTTTCAACTACTTTTCTCAGGATAGGGATTGGGATATTTGTCGTTTGATAAAGTATAATGTTTTTACATGTTTTTCTGACATATTTCATTTCGTCATCAGATGAAGGTCAAAATTTTCAGTTGGCCCTTGGGCTATGATTTTAAGTAAGTTTTTCAAGTAACATTTTTCTCTATATTTAAAAATAAGGGTTCTTTACTCTTGAAATAAATTCATATTTTTTACCTCCCTCGTATAAGTTTGTACTGGGTTTTATTTAACTTTTATCAAGAATAAAGTTTTCTATAAGCTGCAGACATATTTCAACACACTATATTCACCACAAGAGGCGAGAATTTTTTGAGAACATTTTGTTGTTTCTTTGAAAATTATGCGTTTAAATTTCACGAAACAATAAAAGCGTCCTTATAATACCACGAGACGTTAGTCAAGTGGTATTTCGGGAGGAATTTGTTGAGTGAAATTTGCATAATTAGTAAGGAAACAACAAAATGTTCTCAAAAAAAAATTCTCACCTCGCGCGATATTTGGAAAGATTATTTAACAATATAAACAGAACTTTTGTAAACAACGTTTGCTTTGTTTCCGTAAGATAGAGTCGATTCTGTATTTAAAATGTATATTTCAACAACCAAAACGATTTTTGTTAATTTTTCGTCATCTTTTTAACAAACTTCACATTGATATGTTACCCTGGTAATGAATTGAATTTTTTAAATCCATTCGGAATTGACTAAAAACACTGCAGCATGCAGTGTTTTCAGATACATTTTTATTTGATTGTCGTGTGTTGGAATAATAGATGATTGTCATTGGTTGATGTATTAGTGTTAAATAATCAAAAATATCCTTTACGATATACGAAAAATTTTCATTTATTCTTATTGACTTCCTAATAAACACAACTAATACTCTCACTAGGGCTTATGTGTGTGTGTGGATAATAATCTTTCGCTCGCTGTCTAGGCTGGCCTTTTTTGTTTCTGTTGGGATGTTAGACCCTTCATATGTGTCAGGTTGTTTGAATAATATTGTTAAATAACCGTCCAAATAAAATTAAAAAAAATCAGATTTTATACTATATATCACCTATATACCTTGAGAACTTATTGCCTGCCAAATCCCCCTAGTAGTCAAGGTTCATAACAAAACAGGATCGGCCTTTTTAGTATTTTTGTAACTTTCCAAATAGTCGCTCATCTGACTGCAAAAGAGGCACGTCGTGTTTTTTGCTTGCTATTTGTAGTTGGGTAAAAGGGTGAGAGTGTGAACAACATTTACTATGTGCCGGTGGTGGGAGCTGTCGTTTAACCTGTCAAATTAAAATGTTTCTTGTCGGTGGATTTTTTCGTTTTTTTGTTGGCAAAGAAATAATATGCTTCTATAACAATATCCCTTTGCAAGCATTTTTTCCCTTCATCGATAATGCAGGCCAATATGTCTGTTTTTCCAATAGATAAAATTTCACATTTTAACTATTTGGTCGCTTCTTAAAACGGTTTTTCTTTTATAGTTGTTAACCTAGACCACAGTGAGTATTTTTGGCATTCAAGTCACTTCTGACAATGGATATACAGTGCTTCTCAAAAGTCCCCTCCCCCCTCTTTTCTTTTGAACGGTGATACTTAGACTGACGAAATTTGGAGGGTGAAAATGAACTATTGTAAGCTTCTCTACTAGTGGTAATAGGTGACGTAATAGGCATCGGTGACGTCACCAGACAACTGATACCAATAATATTAAATGAGACCTTATTTTAACCATCAAAGACATCATAAATCCAAAAAAAAATAGTATGATTATATAGGTATTCTAAATACCTTTCAAACGAGGTGTCACTTGATATAAGGTCCCATTTAATATTATTGGTTTCAGTTGCCTGGTGACGTCATCGATGCCTATTACGTCACCTGTTACCACTAGTAGAGAAGCTTACAATAGTTCATTTTCACCCTCCAAATTTGATCAATCTAAGTATCACCGTTCAAAAGAAAAGAGGGGGGGAGGGGACTTTTGAGAAGCACTGTATATCCAAAATTGCTCAGAAAGCCTAAATATTGTTCTCTTTTAAGGGCATATCTAGGTGGGCAATATACAGTACAGACAATAACTTCATAATCACGCATTTATATTATTATATTTTCATTAATTTGATGCCTTATTGATTATTTTTTTAGGTAACTTTCAATTTGTATGATAATTTGAAATTGAGAAAACGAAAAGCTACGATGAAGCGTTCCGCGGATAGTTCATCAGAAAAAGATCCTCAACGGGACAACAAAAATGCCTATGAAGCCCAATCTTTGGACGATTTGAAATTGACAATTCGCGTAGCCGATTACGACAACAAACCGTTACCGAAAGCATATTCGAACACCTCCAGTTATCACTCGGTCGATAAATTACTGGGCAATATAGTCAATGGCAACGGTAGAGATGACAGGACGAGTTACCCGATGGAAATGAAAAATAAGAAAAGGTCGTCGTCTTACGAGGACTCTCATGAGAAACGAAAATCGCAAAAATGTAATGATGATGTTTTCGATGAACTTTGGAGGCAGGAGAGTACTAATCCATATTTCAGTTATTCTGAGAATCAAGCTGCGTCAAGTAAGTATAATAAAATATACATTTTGTCAGTTCCCAGTAATTTAATCTTACGTATGAACAGTATAATGTACTTAAAAAGAGTTAGAATAAAACGATCCAGTTTTATTTTACAATAGTCTTTATTTTCAAGGGACATGACAAACACACAATACAGGAAAACATTGTTTTATTATCTATTGTTTATATACATAAAAAAATGCACAAACTATATAAAATAGTGAGTGATAATTAGGCACCCCTCGAAATTAAATCCAAACTAACACTTAAAAATAAGAAGAATTGTACACTCCTACATACTTATATTTTTGTAAGCCCTACTTTAAAAACATTTTTTGTTGAATACTCCATACTAATTTACAAGCAAAAGATGAATTTTTATTTATTATTTACTCATCGAACAGGAAGTTTTTAAACGTTTTAAAATATCTGAAAAGCTATCGCTGTTGATAATATCACTAATATTGCAAATAATGTTAAAATAATTACAATACACAGAGATTTTAATATTACATTAGTACTCGGAACATTTAAATACGATTATGTATATGTCGTAGCCAGATTACAAAACCCGTCGTTTTATAAATTGCCTAGGCGTTTTATAAATAGCGGCCAAATTGTCAAAGTTTCGTTTACCTTTCATTATTTTACTATCTGACTAGCCGGACTATAAAATGCCTAGGCGTTTTATAAAAAGACGGTCAACACACGGTCAGATTGTCAAATATTTAAGATTATCCATTTTTGACATTTCGGCGGGTAAGGAGTTTCAGTCGTCTTGTAAAACACAGCCGATTTTCGACATGAACAATTTAATTTTAGCTGATAACTGTATAGTATTTTTAATACAAATCCCGATGCACGTCAGCAATAGGAGAAATAAAAGAATTTTATAGGAATAATGAAGATTAGTAGATGAATAATTGTTTTTTTAGGAGAAAATAGTGTAATTAAAAAAAAAAACATTGTCTAATTTTTAAAACAATAAACAGTTTGATATATTTCTTATATATCTGTATTTTTATTTAATTTATTCCAAGATATAAAAAAAATATTTGACTGAGAATAACATTTTTCAAATGTCTTTTGAAGCTGATAGAATGGAGAATCTTGATGTTTGAGTGATGAATTTATTGTTCATACATGTTTCGATAACTTTAGAGTTGAAAAGAAGTAGCGATATCTGTTTATTTTTGAAGCATTTCTGGCTATCTTGAATACTTGAGCTACAGAACCGTTTACTAAAGCACCTACCTACTCAAATATTTTAACAATTTCCTTCTTGTATTCAAATATTTTAGCATTTTCAAACTTTAATTCTTTAAGTATAGGTATCTACTGATATTATGAATCCTCCACATGCCTTTGTAGTTTTCATTTTTTCAATGACCTCTTTAATTTTATGGGGTGTTGTGGTTTTTAACTTAAATGTAGTTCTGTTAAATAACTTTCTTGGTGAATTTAAATTAGTTTTAGATATTTTCTGTGCTAGTTCTAAACCAATTTTGATTCCATGACTTGCATAATATGTTTAAAGCTTTTTTGTTCAGATGCTTATTATTCATAAATATTTTCCGTTAGTTATATACATTTAAAACTAATTGTTCCTACTATATAGTAACATAACAAATACATAACCTTACAATTTTAAAAAATTCTAAATTCCTCAACTATTCTGACGATTAGGCAACACTGCAAGGCCGTGACGTCATAAATGATCTCTGACGTGCATCGGGATTTGTATTAAAAATACTATATAAGTGAAAATGCAAATGATAAAGAACAACTACATGAACAATGAATAATTTCGCAGTAGGTAAGTAATAAAATTAAAGGGAAGTGTAATCTTTGCTGTAAAGAAAAAGTTATAAAAATTCAGTGCAAAATAGATTAGAAACGTGTATCTGACCAAATGGTCCAAATCACAAAAATAAATGGAAATATTTGCAGGTGGGGGCGCATGTTTCTATAACATTTTCAAAATTTGCCAGGGGTCCGCTTGACCCTAAAGCTGTGTTAAAAACTATTCTTGATTTATGAAATGGATTATACTAGATAGGAACTGAACATGGGTTTCAAATCGATGATTTTCTAGAAACCAACTTAACTCAATTGGAACGTCAAACTTAAATCCATAAAATACCAGTATTACGTTAAGAGAAGCTATTTCTAAGGGTTTTTAATTTGGGGGACAAAGAAACAACTGGACAAAGAAAGCCAGTGAAAACTTAGTAAAGTTTAAATGCTTTACAGACAAATGTCTTGGTTTTAACGCACGGGGAAAATGCCACTGTAGGTGTCATTTCAATGGTACGTGTTCTAATAAATAAAATACTAACAATTAAATTTTGAACTTTTCCTCAAATTGCTCCATTACCGTCCATATATTAAAATCACGTATTTGACCAAAATTATAGAGAATAATATCACAAACAAATCTGGTTGAAAGAATTTTCTTCTATAATCATAAATAACAGAAATATATCTTTAAGTAATATTTAAAAGTCATTTTTTGATTAAAAAATAGTGCAGAAAACATACGGTCGGATCTAAGACTATTATTGGTTCTTTTGAATTTAGCAAGTGTTGTTTGTAGTTCATTTGTTCTTTAGTTTTATTTTTTCTAGAGTTTAATTTGTTCTTCAGTTTAATTTGTTAAATATTCGTTATAAAATGTTTTAATTCCAACAAATCCATAAATAAATATTTTGATGGCCCTAACTTTAAAGTAAAATTCGTATTTTATAAAATGACTAAAACTTTTCACTTGCCAGAATGCCAGAATATAATTTTAAACATTTGACAATCTGGCCGCGTGTTGACCGTCATTTTATAAAACGCCTAGGCATTTTACAGTCCGACTAGCCAGATCGGAAAATAATTAATGTTAAATGAGAATTTGACAATCTGGCCGCCTTTTGTAAAATGTCTAGACATTTTATAAAACGACACGTTTTACAATTTGGCTACGACATATATACAAAAGAAGACAAAAAATATCATTTTTTTTTCTTGAGAGTAAAAGTACCCTTATATTTAAAAACAGGGAACAATATTTCTTGAAAACTTGTTTATTCATCAATATACCAAGCAAATTATGGAAAAATAACTACTTATTAAAACACATCATTGATAGCTCTTTTTTTCATGTTTCAGTGAGTTACATAACGTAACACAAAACATTATTATTAATTAGTATTAATTTATTACACACAATCTAGTATTACAAAATAATTTTAGTGCACCTGGGTGCAAGAACCAGTATGTGCGGAAACAAGTATTAAATACTAACTTAGATTTCATACATAAAAGGTAAAATTGAGAACATTATATCTAATAGAGAAAGAAAATAAAAAATATATAATATTCCTAATTGAGATAGATGTGTGTTCTTTAATAGTTCTTTTTATTTATTATCATCTTCAGTATTATAAAAATGTTTGCAGGTGCATCAAAAAACCAAAGGTACGAATCGACGCATTCAACTCACAGAAGGTCTTCCAATGATTCAAGTTATAGTAAAAGGAGACCATCAGGGGGTAGCACTAGCAGCAGCAATTATTGGAGGAATAATAGAGGTACTTTAGACGTAACTCATTAAATAGCAATTCTATAATTTTACGATTTTAAAATAAATTGTTATTCAGTAAAAAGTATGTCTTAAATATTCAACCAAATAAAACGTACGTTCTGTCAAATGAATGATCAAAGTAATTCCTTATTGTCATATTAATTTATCGTATCTGTCTGTTCATACACAAAAATATTTAAAAAGAAGTAGTCGATTGTCCAACTTTTATAAATATATTATGGAAAGATCCATTAGTATACATCATTGATATAGAATAAAGATGAGATGCTATAACGATGCTAAAGTGTCTGAATTACACTTTTATGTCAATGTCAGTTTTGGTGAAAATAAATGCAATTTTTTTTAAACAGCTTCATTTAAATAATATAAAATCATTTTCATTCCGTCATTCTAAATCATTTTCTTTCCGTCAGTCTTTAAATATAAAACTATTGACTTATTATTTTTATTAGTTCGCCTTAATAAATTTTAATATTCACTGTATAATCAGCGTTAATTAAAATGCTGTTGAGTCTGTTACACAAATCCCATAATTATAAAACGGCACATTTTCGAATTAATCACTGTAATATGTATACACATATAGAAAAGATTTAAAATATCTGAATTTTGTAAGGAACATCGAGGAGTTCGCAAAGATACCCTGACTCCACGCGATCCTATCAAGATTCCGGCTATTCGCATCCTGACACCAGATCGTCGTACTCCACGCAACATTCGTTTAGAGACAGCAGAGATACCGGTCATTTCTCGAGAAAGAGTACAGGAGGCGGGAGGACGCTGTCGTCCGGTTCCAGCTGCCGAACGACCCCGGCCAGCTCCAGCAGCAGGACACCGCAGTCGAGTTCCGGTTCTGGCGGTACCAGCAGGACATCATCGTCTGGTTGTAGCGGTTCTTCCAGACCACAAGCGCCTGGTTCCACCAGTTCTTCCAGGCCGCAGGTGCATAGTTCCACAGGTTCTTTCAGGCCGCAAGTACCTGGTTCCACTGGTTCTTACAAACAAGCGCCTGGTTCCACTGGTTCTTCCAGGCAGCAGGAGCCTGGTTCCACTGGTTCTTCCAGAGTGCATGCCCCTGGTTCCACCAGTTCTTCCAGAGTGCATGCGTTTGGTTCCACCAGTTCTTCCAGACCACAGGAGCCTGATTCCACCAGTATCAGCAGGACACAATCGTCCGGTTCGCACTCTAGTGCTAATTCGAGGTAAGTTTGTCATCTAATTCTTGCACTGATTTGTAATAATAATACTCTCCCTAATGTTCACTGGATTGATGTAGGCTATATTGTACATTGTCAAAAAGTATCATTAATTGGTAAATTTGTTCATATTATGTTGGGAAAATTTGAAATTCAGTTAAAGATCTTAAATAGATTTTATTTGGTTAGTTAACAGTAGAATACTCTTTTTTCTAACACACATCAATCGAAAAAAACTATCTTAAAACACTGCATGTTACAGTGTTTTCATTCAATCCCGATTGGATTTAAAAAATTAAATTAATTTCTTTAAATCATTTTTGCGTTATCTTAGAAAATTTAGAAAAATGCTCGGATACATCACTTTTTATTTTTGATAAAACACATTTTTATTATAAATATGTCATCCCCGATTTTAACCTCTGTATGTAGTAGCTACCCCCTTGAATATTTAAAATAACAGTAGTAATGGCTCATTTTAAACAATTTTTAATTTTCTATTCAGTAACAAAATAATTTTTACTAATTTTTAGGGTATATGGACATTTAAATATTAAAAAAAATCGCCCTTTTGGATTAAATACATTTCAGTAAAATTTGCGGGATATTAACTAGTTCAGAATATCGAATATTTTAAATATTTAAATCCCCTTATATCACATTGTAGAAAGAATAAAAATTATAAATAGAATTTAAAACTTTTTCAATTCATCTATCAATTCGCCCTTATTGCTATTTGAAATATTCAAAGGTGTACTTACCCGGGCAGGTGTTGAAATCTGGGGTTTTATAACTGTTAAGTCTTCACTTATTTAGTGTAAGTTTAAATTGAAAATTATCATCCAGTATGAAACGTAATATTTCACTTATATATTTATTATTCCCATTACTTATACTTCGCCAAGACGGTATTGCCCTAATTGGTAAAAGACCACATACGCGTGGCGAAGAACGAGTCTTAAATTCGACAGGGCGAAATCAGATCGCCTCAAATGTCATAGAGTACAAACGTGTGTTCAACCTTTGTGATCATTTGATACAAACCTGCAAATTTGCTTTCCCGAATATTCAAATACCAGCCCTAAAATACAGTTCACGACCCCTGCAGCTTAGGGTGGACGCGCCAAGAAGAGAAGTCGGCATCAGGAAGCCAAGGAAATTAAAGGTAGGACCTGATTGGCGAAGCTTTAAATTTTCTTTCGCGCGTGACATACCGTAGCTTAACCATAACCTATTCATTAGTCTTCGATCTCGGATTCTTACTGGATGAATAATTATAATTTGATAATTTTGGGATAATTATTATTGATAGATCTTGGGATTTAATAAGTTTATTTCACACAAAATTATTCTCTTTTCTCGAAGAAATTTATTTAATTAATTCGAAATTGTTGTCTTTTTTTTCTCTCTTTTTTTCTCTTATTGGACTTTTATTAGACAAATAACTTTAGTAAAATTATTAGTTGTTAAATTATATTAAGTTATATATTATATTAAGTATTCATATTTTTTACAATAAAAAAATAGAAATGGGCGAGAAAAGTAAGAGAAAACAGAACGAAGCGTTAAGGCAAATAGCCATCGATCGAATGTTAGATATTTACACAATGTCACAGAAGGCGCTCTCGGATGCTACTTATTTTAGTGCATTCAAAATGCGATATACAAAATTGGACGAAGTTTATTATGATTTTAATACTTGGCAAAACAATATTTTGCAATCAGTCGCACTCGATGATGCCGAAGAACCTAAACGTGCAGCGGGATATCGGTTCAGAAGTAGACAGTAAATATTTTGCAATAAAAGAGGTTTACTACGATTTATTCGAAAGGACGGCTCAGTCTACTCAACCTCCAGTGCAAAAGAATCAAACGAATATTAAAACTCCCTAAATTAAATGTACCAGTATTTTCAGGTGACTTTAAAATGTGGCCTACATTCATAGATCTTTTTAAATCGCTAATACATAATAACCTCACCATTTCTAAAGTTGAAAAATTTAGATATTTACATTAATCTCTGGTGGGTGAGGCTTTAACTCTAATAAAAAATATAAAGGTTACAGAAACAAATTATGATATTGCTTTTGATAAACTAGTAAAAACTTTTCAAAATGAATGAGCTCTTGCAACATTCTATTGGGAAGAAATTCATAATTTCCCCAAACTTAACTCTGAATCTACCTGTAGTTCAATGGAATTTTTTAGTATTTCATACTTTGAGTAAAAAATTAGACTCGGAGACACCACATCGTTTTGAACAAAACCATGCCTCATCAGGAATGCCCCAATATAATGAGTTGTACAATTTTCTCGAAAAATAATATCAGGCGTATGATTCGGTTTTTAGTACAACCCCTTAAAAAATATTCTACTTTCTCTAAACCACAGGTTCGCTCTGAACATAAAAAAAGCTCTTCCTTTGTTACAAACATTAATGAAAATAATTGTAATTTGTGTAATGCAGCTCACTCCATTTATAAATAAATGTACTCTTTTTTTGTCCAAAACCCCAAAAGAGAGATATGACATATGCAAACAATCCCGCTGGTGTACTCATTGTTTAGGTAACAAGTATACGGCGAAAAATTGTAACTCTAATAGCTTTTGTAGAGTATGCCAAAACAAAAACCATCATACATTGCTACATTTTGATGATCGTAGCATTTCGGCTGCTGCAACAATTGCCAGTCCATCCTCTTTTCACGGTGAATCACCTACCTTTAATCCTCAAACTCTCACAACCCTTTCTGCAGTCTCCTCTACCTCTACTGTTTTATTATCAACTGCTCTAGTCGATTGTCTTGACTCTAGGGTACACTTTCAATGCATAAGAGTGCTACTTGATAGTGGAAGCCAATCCTCCTTTGTCACTGAGAAATGTGCTAATCGATTAGGTTTACCTCGTAGCAAAGTTAATTTGACTGTTACTGGAATAGGTAATCTAAGTACATTCTCTTCTAGTTTAGTATCATGCTCTATTAAACCTTTAGCTCAGGCTACGCCTATTTTACAGGTCGACGCCATAACCCTTACCCGCATTTGTTCAGATGTACCTGAACAAAAGTTTTCTGTATCAAATTTCTCACATATTTTTGGTATAGATTTGGCCGATAATAAATTTAATTTTCTGGGTCCAATTGATATGCTACTGGGAGCCGATGTAGTCCCTGAAGTCATGACATCCGGGAAAATTCTAGGTACTCCAGATCAGCCAACAGCTCTTTTTTTTGTGTCATCGGCTTCAACTGCTAAGGTTATTAGCCTCGTGTTCTGTGTAGGCTTTGTTACTGTTTCCCAGCGCCACTTTAGGAACAGCACTGTTAATTGGAACCCAACAGTGAATGGTCGAGTGGGTAATCCTACCAAGGCATCAGAATTAATTTTAAATAATTTAAATTAAATAAGAAAATCCCGACCAACGGTGGGATTTGAACCTGGGACCCTTGGATCCACAGGCAGAGACTACCATTGAGCCACCCACCCCTCAACAGCTCTTAAAACTATTTTTGGTTGGGTTTTGATGGGAAAAACCACTATGGCTGTACCCACTCGCTCTATACACTCATATTTCTCTCAATGTAATTCCTCACTAGATACGACTCTTGGAAAATTCTGGGAACTGGAAGAAGTTCCACAGATTAATTTACTTTCCCCTGATGAAAAAAGGTGTGAATCTATAAGGATTACCTGTTAAGTGGTCACATGGAATCCGTACCGCCTCCTCTATCGTTTGAAAATATTTATTACATTCCACATCATTGTGTCACGAATCCTAATAGCCCCACAACCAAACTTCGTGTTGTCTTTGACGCTTCAAGTAATTAAGTCCTCTTTTGGTCTCTCACTAAATGATAGTCTCCTTACGGGACCAAAACTTCAGTCTGATATTATATATCTGCTACTCAGATTTCGAATTCATCCCTTTGTATTTATTGCAGATATAAAACAAATGTGTCGCCAAATCTTGATTCACGATAATCATCAAGATGATCAAAGAATTTTATGGCGATTTTCTCCTACAGATCCTATCCAAGATTTTAAGCTTAAAACGGTTACATATGGTGTCTCTTCTAGCCCCTTTCCCGCCATCCGAACCATTTGTCAATTGATTTCTGGCGAAAATAATTTTCCTATTGCGGCTAAGGCCCTAACCTCATGTATTTACATTGATGATGTAATTACCGGTGCTGAAACTTTGGAAAAGACACAAGCCTTGCAAGCGGAAATTATTTGGTTATTACATAAGGGCGGTATCTCTTTACGTAAATGGGCCTATAACGACCCTAGCTTATTAGCCAGTCTAGCTCCTAGTGATTGTCAACAATCTCTTCTGTTGTTCGACACCCATGATTTTATTATGAAAGTGTTAAATCTTAGATGGAATCCCTCTCTTGACATGTTCTCATATATTGTTCAACCTATGTACAGAGCTTGTTCTAAAAGGATTATTCTTTCTGAGGTCGCCTGAACCTTTCACCCTATAGGTTTTCTATCACCGTTAACTTTTTTTGCAAAGCATTTAATTCAACAACTGTGGGTTTTAGGATTAGATTGGCATTCTCAACCTCCTCCTGATATTGTTAGTAAATGGTGTCAGTATAAATCTGAACTACCTCAAATTTCTGCATTAAACATTCCTAGGTGTTTTCCATAAAACGTTACTTCGTGCGAACTACACGGATTTGGCGATAGCTCTGAAAAGGGATATGCTGCAGTCACCTATCTTCGTTTTACGTGTCAAGATAAGTCTCATAAGGTTGTTCTACTTTCTGGAAAAGGTAGCACCCCTCAAGGTCCTTTCAATTCCTCGGTTAGAATTGATGGCCGCAGTTTTGTTATCTAAGTTAATGGAATTTGTTATCACCTCTTATAAGGATGTTTTAACTATTAATAAAATCTTTGCTTGGTCAGACTCAATGGTGGCTCTACCACTGAGCCACCCACCCCATAAATATTAATTTTGTAAACAAAAGTTAAATAATCTTTCCAAATAACACGCGAGG